AGCCCGACGTGAGGCTCGAGCCCACGAACTCTGAGATCATGACCTGAGCCGAAGTTGGATGCTCAACTGACCGAGCCACCCAGGCACCCCATGATTTCCCCAAATTTTACAGCACACAAACACTCTCAGGTGACTTGCCTCCTGTCAGCTTCCTCTCTTTCCCTGATTCACTTGAGAGAACTACACTCTCCCCTTCCTCCTCCTCCTGACTGCCAGGGTGAAACAAACAAGGATGAAAAGAAAAACAAAGGAAAGAAGAAAGTGACTGATACGGAGTTACCTCCCAGCTTCCCCAGTTTCTTTCCTCCCAGGGCCTTTCTGGCCAGAGAGCCCACTCCAAAGCACGGGGTGAGGGGTGAGGGGTGAGGGGAATAACGCCCACTATTTTGTGGACCCCTTGCCCCATGCACTCAGTGGAAGGGCATGGCATTCTGATATTCCCTTTAGCCACAGCAGGGTGAGCATAGCCAAGTCACTGCCTGTGAGACGGTGCTGGGCAAGAGAACGCCTGTCTTCTCTTTTTGGCCCAGTGAGTTGCGAGATAGAGTTACCAAGTGGGGTTTGGAACAGATCTATCTGCCTCAATCAAAGCAGCTGCCATCATGTTGAAATGTTGCGGCCATCAAAAGACACCACATGGAACATGCATGAGACATGTCCACAGAGTAATGATGCTGGTTTCTTTTCCTTTCTTTCAACAAACAGACCACAAAGTTAGCTTCCTGAATTCTCAAAACCAGCACCTTTATTCCTGTTTACAAGAAGGGGGGAAAAATCTAAAGTTATAGTCGGCAAAAGTGCCTACTTTGGTGTGCCCTGTCTCGGTGACTGCTCTCGCAGGCAGACTCTTGAGATCAAGATCCAGACAACTCAGGGTCATACTGCGCTTTGGACCCAGCTGGATCACCCAAGCCTTCTTCACCAAGTCAGACTTGATTCCTTATATGTCACATCTTTTGATAACTTCCAAATATCAAATTCACACTCAAAGGACAAAGCTTTGTTAGCAGGGAGCGTTTTCAAAAGAATGTGCTGAAGGCAATTCGAAAAGAGGGGCATGGTGAACCTTGCATCTAAGAGCCGTGGCATTGAAATAAGTAGTCTCCTCAATGAATAATTATGAAGGGGACTACAGAGGCTTGGATGTGTAAGTTCTGGTGTGTTTGCATTAAGATAGAAACGGAAAAAAGAAAATAGGCCCCTAACTTTACACTCACTCTGAACAATAAGGTAGGCAGAAGTAAAGTAATGGGAAATGCACTCAGGGGCTTGGACAGAAAAATTCAGCTACCCCTTAGACAATACATGACTGCTATTTCACCCCGTTCGCTTTGATGAAAAACTGACGCTGACTTCCACCATCAAGAATCAGTAGAACCGACAAATTCCTGGGATAACATTTCGTTTGATCCTAATCTACAACATCAAAGACAAAAAGGGGGGGGGGCACCAAGCCCTTCATATACACCTCCCACCTTCCCACCAATTCTGAAGACCACCTCCCCCAGACAATTCCCAGTGTCCTAACACAAACACATCAAGCAAGTACGCCTTGGGAATTTGAAGGCATTGTTCCCGGTACCCAAAAGATCAGACAAACATCAAGACAGGGAAAGAAAAGAATGCACTCCTTTTTCAACCAGGTTTTATTTAGAACAAAACAAAATTAAAAAAAAAAAAAAACCTGCATGTCAACGTCAGGCAGTTCCTATTTAACTGCTGTTAAATATATGGCATTTATTTGTCCTGAATTAAAAAGAAAAAAATCCTAGGAATTCTGAAAACTCACCAAGTTAACACTGTCTGGGGCCAGAAAAATACATTCCCCAGACAGTCCTTCTACGAATGTCCCGTAGGGGGCACTAGAGAGGTGTGATTGGAACTGACTTGGGAATCACAGTCATTTCTGGTAAAAGTTCTTTGATGTGAGGAATGTCCCAGCCTGGTACAGTTGGCAAAAGTTCACTCCGGGGAATTTTGTGTGTGTGCATGTGTGCGTGTATGTGTGTGTGTCTGTCTGTCTGTCTCTTGGGAAAGGGCGGTTGCCGAAGAAGAGAGCTAGTCTGGTATTCCTTGATTCCAAAGAGGAATTGTCCCTCTTGGTTTATTTTCACAAGCTATCTGAGGAACAGACAAATGGCAGCCTTGGAAAAGTCCTAGATCTTGTTTTTGTTTTGTTTTTTTCATTAAAAGGGGACCCAGCTGATGAAAACAAGTTATGAAATGACCTATGTTTGTGTAACTGGCTGATTGCGTAACGCTCAGGTCCTGAAACCGTAATAGTCGAGCAGCCAGGCAGGGCATATATCTGGGAGGTGTTTTCCTAGGAAAGTTAGGGGAGAGAGAAAACAACAACAACAATAAACAGAAAAAGCCAGGAGGGGGAGGTGTGTGCAACTATTATTGACAAAACAAAATCACCAATGCTTTGAGATTAAAACTATAACTGGAACAGGAAATATTTTTCATGCTTTGAGTTCCTGCCATATACACGAAGAGTGGTTTTAACAAAGAATTATCTGCCCCCCACCCCCACCCCTCCGAAGTCCCTGGAACTCATGGCCGTGTGTTACAATCAAGCTTTATAAAGCCAGAGAAAAGATTCTGGGTTGAGGAAACAGCAACAGACTTATCAGGAATATTAGACCCCACAAACAGAGCAGGAAAAAATGATACTCACTTGCCCAAAGGAAAACCAGAGAACCCTCTTCTACTGACTGCTCTACTGAGATACCACAAAAAAGGAAGACCCAGCACTAAATTGCCAGGAAAGCTTCCCCATAAAGGAAGCTTAGAGAAATAAAGTGATTACAAGTTGTATCTGGTATGTAATAAAGTTACCTTGAGCCCGTAGGGTCATAGCACAGACTGGTGAAGGAACAAAAGCCTCTCAAGTCAGTCCTGAGGACCACAGAACAGCTTGGCTCCAGGTTGGAGAGATGATGGAAAATCCTTCCCCTCTCCTCCTAACACCCCTTCCCTCCCCCACCCCCCCCCCAGATGTGGACAGGCTGAAAGACTTGTCCAAAGTGGCATTACCTTGCCAGTCCCTCTGGTTTGAAAGGCACTTCACTCAAGCTGCCGGGCCAAACAGGCAGGCGAGTATGCGAGAACCCGTGCACTAGTTATTACTAATTGCAAAATTCTCATGTGTTACAGCATGCTAGGAATTAGCCAACAGCTGCTTTTTGCTTCAGTAATGAGGCCCCATTACACCCTGCTGGACTGAGTTCTCTTCCTTCTTCCTAGCACTGGTTTCCTGTCTGATTTTCTTCCAAAACAGGGAATTGCCTCTGCTCACATCCTGGGCTCAAAGCCCTAGTGACACAGATTATTCAATCCGGGCACTGATGTCCGGTCTGACTTCCCATTCAGGCCCCAGGGTCTGAGCAAAGCCAGGCGGCGAGATTGTAATATTGCAGCGATGACTGCCACAAAAACAGCAGGGAAAGGAACAGGCAAGATATAAAAGACCTCTTTCGGATTCCGGGAGGAGGAGAGGGATGTTTTGGCGTTTGTAGAATTAGAGAGTAAGTTGAATTAGAGAGTAATGGATATACAGGACTCCAAACCGTGGCCCAATGATACTTGGATTCGATAAAAACCACCAGTGGGACTGGAAAGCAAACAAAATCACTTTTAGGACAAGATTTAAAACTCATCACCTTGGTGCTTATTATTAAAGACACACTGAATGTACACTCAATGCACAGACGAGGTCCTCTTCAGCAAGTGCTTATGGGGGTCACCAGGGGAGGTAGAGGAAAAGACACAGAAAAGCCATTTTGGGAACTCACCAAGTACGGGGAATCACTTTGGAACAAGGTATCCCTCTTCAGATCTTAGAGAGAGCCGTGTTTCCATCTTATTTTCTGGCAAGGTCCACCCCTCCCAGGAAGCGCACCCCAGCCCCTCCTTGCTGGCTGGCTTCTAGAGGCCAAGGCCACTGCCTTACCGGACCAACTCTTGGCTGCAGCCAACTTGGCTAGAGACTCCGCAGATCCTGAGGGAGCCGGGCTTCAGGTAGTAGTGGCCTTGTTTGTTAAGCCAGCTCCCTCTGAAGCCTTGGGTGGGGGGGCGGTGGCTGCTGCGCAGGGCAGGCACCCCACTAGCACCGCCACCCCAGCAGCACCTTTCGGGTATTTATAGACACAGATTGCACGCACAATCCTTCCAGTGCAAACCAGTCCGGCTGCTTTAGAAACAAGTTGTTTTTCCGCTTCCAGAACCACCCAGGAGCCTAAGCAAGGTCTCGTCTTTCCCCCCCACCCCCACTTTTCTCTGCAGGCGTCCTTGCCCCAGGTACCCCCCAGACCCTCAAGGCGCCCCTTCTTGGCGGCAGTACAAGCCCCTTTTCTGACCCGAACAGGAGATGGATGGGCGCGGGGGCACAAAGGCGCAGGCCCGGAGCTATTGAGGCTGACCTCCTCCTTCCCTGACCTTCGCACCCTATTCCCAGGGCGACAACCCTCGCTCTCACTCTGGATTACTTGAAGGAGCCCAACCATGTTTCCGAATCCCCAACCTCTTTGAGAAATTAAGGCTGATGGAGAGCGGGGGAAGAGAAGGAGAGGGCTTTCCCACAGGAAGAGTCCTTGGATGTCGGGAGGGGCCAGTGGGTGCAAAGATTTTTTTTTTTTTACCCACCACGGAGAAGTGAGGGGAGAGAGGGGAGCAATTTCTGGGAGAGGAGTTTACAGGCTCCTGGGAAGGAAGGTGCAATTCCAGGAGCTTGTCTGGATATGATGTAGTGTGAGGGCAAAGGTTTGCCGGCTCTCCAAGCCCGCTCCCCGCTCCAGTTTTTTGGTTTGGTTGTTTGTTAAGTGATGCGGGGAGAACGGTGGGCAGGACAACACGAAAATTCAGAACTTACAACGGTGTCCCCGTAGGAATTTTCTCGCCAAGCCAAAAATGGGAAAAGAAAGCAAAAGAGGCAGTGGCGGCGAGAGGAGGGCGGGGGTCCGCCCGCGCCGCCAGGTGCACCCGGGGCCCGCACCTACCTGCTGGCCGCCGCCGCTGGTGTAGGACTCGGCGTGCGCAGGAGAGCCGCTGCTGCCCCGGGACGAGGTGTCAAAGTTCCCGGGATAATCCTGGTACATGATCCGCGGTGGGGGCCCGAGAGGAAACAGGGTGTTTTTCTTCCCCCGCCCTCGCCGCGGCCGCGCACCGGCTGCTGCGCGCTCGCTCCCTGCCGGCCGCGCCTCGGGCTCTGGTCTTCGCTCCCGGGCTTCTCCCCGACGGTGGCGGGCGCGGACGGGAGGCGGCGACAGCCCGGGGACGGTGCCTCCCGAGCGCCTCGCGCCGCACTTCTTTCCTGCTTCGCGAGCGCCGCGGGACCGGCGGGCCACCCAGTCCCTCCCTCTAAAAGTCCGCGCGTCCCTCTGTCCCTCCCCTGCGCGCGCCCTCCCGCTCCCGCGCGCAGCCGGAGCCCAGCCGGGACGGCTCGCGGGATCAAAAACTGGAAATTAAAAAAAAAGAGAAGGAGCCCAGGGGGTCACGCCTGCCGGGTCCGGGGGCCCCCGATTTCAGACAGGGCGAAAAAGGCGAAAAGAAAAGACTGCCCGCTGGGAGAAACTTCTATTTCCTCCTTTTAGAAAAGGAGCTGAGAATAAACTTCCTGTGGTCGACTCGCCGCCGGAGTTTCGGAGCGGCTCGGACACTTGCCGGGAGAAGGCAGCCTGCGTCCGGGGGGCCCGCGGGGCTCCAGCTGAGCCGGCGCTGAGAGGGACGTGGCCCCGCTGCCCGTGCCGCCGCTCCGGCGCCCGACTGCACCCCTTCCCCGGCGCCCGCTCCCGGACCGGCCGCCTCTCCTGGCCGCGCCTCTCTCCCTCTCTCCCCGGCCCGCCGAGCGCCGCTCACTTGCTCGTCGCTTCGCTCGGAGCCCCTGCGCTCTGCCCGAGATGAGTCACTACAATGGCACGAGTTCAACTCCACTCTTTATTCTCCAACCCCTGTACCATGTGGATTCACTCACGTCAACTCCAGACTCCACCTTGCGGGGAGGAGCGCGCGGGCAAGCGGGGGGAGGAGGAGGAGGAGGAGGAAGAGGCGCGGGAGGAGGCGGGCACAGCGCTCCCCTCGGTGCCCAGGCTCCCGGCCGCGCTGACGCCAGCTGCACTCCCCGCGCGGGGAAGAAAGGCGCTGGCTGGGCAGGAGCGGACCGCCGGCGCTGCTTGGGGGCGCCGAGGTGGCCCCTGCTCTGGCCTTGGCTCCTCTCCACCCCCGCGCACCCCCGAGCCCAGCGCCCTTGGTCTGTTCCACTGGCGCACTTTGCCAAAGATGGTCATTTGCGTTAGAGGACGCGAGTGCGGGTTCCCTCGCTTTCGGGTGACGTGGAGGGAGAGGGATTCCCTCGCCGGCTCCGGAGCGCGCCGCGGTCTCCTCCCTCCACCGCCCGGGGAAGGGGCGCGGGGCGGGCCTCCCCCCTCCCCGTGAGCGGACGCTCGGGCCTCGGCGCCGGGTTTTACAAAATAATCACAGCCTGAAGAGCAAGACGGGCGGTTCAGTGCGGCGCCACCTCGAGGCAGGGAGCCGGGCGCGCAGAGCCGCGCTCAGGGAGGGCGCGGCCAAGCGCGGTCGTCCGCGCCCTCCGCGGCGCCGCCCGGTGCAGCGGGAGCCCTGGGCGCGCTGGGTACCCGCGCCGCCCTGCGGCCGGGCCTTGGCGGGGCCGACCTGCCTATTTTTCCCGGCCTGGCTGGCTGCCCACTGCTTCCCCCAACCCCCAACACACACTTTTTTTTTTTTCCCCGGCCCTACAATTAATCTGTTAGGAGTAGCCCTGAAGACGAAATTAACCAGTCAGGACATTCCGGCCGCCCTCCCTGCGGGACAATTAGGATGCATCTAATAGTAATCGGGCGTTAGAAGCAAACTCGACTGTTAAGAATTTTTTAAAAAATTGGGAGGGAGGGAAGACCGGGCGAGGGTGTGCCCCAACCAAGCCTTCAGCTGTTTTGGAGGCAAGTTCGAGGAGCGAGGAGTCTGTACTGCTGGGTCTTCCCGCCTCGCCTGGGCTAAAGAGCAGAGACCTCGGAGTACGAACGCGGCTGTGTTATTTACGAGCTGTACGCCTTTGGGCGAGCCCCTTAACCATTCCGGGCTTCGGTTTCTTCCCATAAAATGAAGGGGTTGGGAGGGATGATCACCTTCTAAGGCCCTTGCCAGCTCTGGTACTTCAATTGTGCAAAGACGATCCGGAGGAGCACTGCACTAGGAGTCAAGGAACTTGGGTTCTGGTCCAGACTCTGCTTTAGTCTCGGTTTACCCAACTCTTTTAAGTGGCGCCATCTGTACCCGCACAGGGTGCTTGTGAGGACCCAACGGGAAGATGTGTGAAGACTGCGAACGCTGTGAAGCGCTGTGCGTTGTAACACGTCACAGATCCGGTCCTCAGTTTCCTTATCTGTAAAGGGGGGAGTTGCTAGGAAAGAAAAATAGAGCTGGGAACTCAAAGCTTTCCCGGGGCTCTATATAAAGCGCTGGCGTTTCCGGGACGGCTGGCGGCATCTGGCCGCCCCAATGGCCCCAAGATACGGTAATCCCAAACAATACTCGGGGTCATTGTTTACAGCTATAAAACACATTCTGTCCTGAGCTCCATCCCCAAGGACGCGCGCAGCGAGGCGAGGCGGGCCCGACCCCTCGCGCCTCCGCCGCCGCCCTCCGCGCAGAGTCCCCAACGCTGCGGGCCCGGGAGAGGTGTGCGGCCGGCGGATGTGCACACAGGCCGCGGGGAAGGGGGTTTTTTGTTTTGTTGTTATTTCATCCCTGAGTCCTGCCTCCCCGGGTGTTTACGCGCCTCTCCCAGCAGGACTGAGTAAATGCAGTTCTTTGACGCAAAACCGATCAGCCCTTTCCCCAGCGGCAGCGGCAAAACGAGAAAACTGGGGGCGGGGGCGGTGTCGGGGAGAGCGCAGGAAAAGAAATCGTGACACTTTCTCACTCGCCTCTCCGTCCCCTCCTGCGCCATACGGCCCCCCAGGTGCCTTAGCGAGATCTTGGGGGGCTGGGAGGGGAAGTGCGACTGGGGCACCTAGGACCCTCCGGAGGGCAGCCGCGTGCTGAAGCGGCGCGAACAGATGCACTTTTGGTTTTCCTTTGAGCACCAGCGGCTGCCTGGCCCTCCCCCACCCCGCGTTCGAAAATCCGGGTGCTTCTGGGTCTCTCCCACACAGTTCTTCCAGTAATGCGAGGGGAAAGGAGGAGGGGGAAAAGAAGAGGGAGCTTCCTCCGCGGCCTCCGCCGTCCCGGGCGCGCCCAGGCCCTGGCCGGCGCCGCCGGGAGCGCGCGGGCGGGCGAGCGCACCCTCGCGCCCTCTCCCGCCCCCGCCCTGCCTGCTCCCCGGCCTTTTCCTTTCTTGTGGGTTCCCGTAAAGCCCAGCAGCACCGAGACGTCTGCAGAGCATCACGGAATCTGTGCTGATGCAAGTCGCTAGTCTCCCTTTGGTGCGCCCGGCCTGCCTCAGAGCGCTTTGATCCCGGTCTTCCCCAGCTCCAGAACTTGCGTTGTCTCCCTCTGCCCGCCGGGAGGCCTGCGTTCTGCGGCCGGCCCTCACCTTGCCGCTTCCCCCAAGCGCCACACAGAGCTGCGCCCTGGTGCCGCGGGGACCCGCCGTATGCTGGTGCCTCAGCCAAACTGTGAATGCTACACCGAGAATTCAGCCTCCGGGCCCAGTTTCTTGCCTCTTTCTTGGGGAATCATTTCCGATCACCCAGTTAGAAAGGGTCCCCTGGCTCCATGGAATCATATACTAAGAATAGAGGCCAACCTTCATCCAGCGCTTACCGAGAGTCTGGCTGATTACACAGATGGTCTTCAGGCAATCCTCCCAACACACATTGGAGGTGGTTATTATTCCCTGGTTGCAGATCAAGAAAGTGAGATTAAGTAACTTGTCTAGGAGATTTGGTTAGTGGGTTAGTGACGATCTAGCTGGAAATGCAGCTGGGCCTCTGTGACACCAGGTTCTTCCTCTTATCCAGGACCCCGGATGACCTGCTTCCTACTGGAATGTCCTTGTTTCTCTCTTCCTGGTCTCCAGAAAGCACGGACTTCATTCTGTGCGTGACTTCGCCCTACCCTTAGAGGTGCTCCTAAATTCTGAGCTGAATAAATAGCCTAGGATCATGGCTTAGCCTAGGGAAAGGTCATGTCAGGTGGAGGGTGCAGAGAATAGAGAAAAGGGTTGGGGAGATAAAGATAGCTTAGGGCTCTTTTTTTTTTTTTAATGTTTTTTATTTATTTCTGAGAGAGAGAGACAGTGTGAACAGGGGAGGGTCAGAGAGAGAGGGAGACACAGAATCTGAAACAGGCTCCAGTCTCTGAGCTGGCTGTCAGCACAGAGCCCGACGCAGGGCTCGAACCCACAAACCGTGAGATCATGACCTGCGCTGAAGTTGGACGCTTAACCGACTGAGCCACCCAGGCGCCCCCATTAGGGCTCTTTTCTTGCTGGCTCCCTGGGTCTGTCTGGCAGTTGTGTCTCCTCCTTTGTCCCTTCAGCCCAGTGTTTGGTCCCTTACTTGAATCCCAGAATGGCTGGCTGCTCTGGGCTGCACTGGCCCACACTTTTGAGCGCTGGAAGGTTCACGAAGCCTTTCATGTACATAGCCTCCCTTGCCCTCACACAACCTCCCTGCCACGGATGTGACAGCAGTGGGGGTGACTCTGGATTGCCAAAGAGGAGGCCAGGGAACAGCATGGCAAGGCAGCCTACTCAAGATTTCCCAGACTGTGGGTGTCAGAGCCTGAGCTCAGAGCCATGCCACCTGACTTTACATCCAGTGTTCTGCCCCCTCACCTGTGCTTCCCACCTTGACAGGCCAGAAGCAAACTCCATGTCTTAATGATAAATGGTCCTCTATGCGTCGTGCCTAAGCAAATCTACCATCGTTTCTCTGTCGAAAGCCATGGATTCTGATAATCTTCGAACATTTCTGAAAGCCACTGCCTCTTATCATCAATGACTGTTTAATATGGAAGTGTCTGTGTTTGCCCAGAGATCTCCGGATCAGCCAGGAGTCAACCAGACTTCAGCCCAGCTGGTCCGAAGGAAGAGGATTTAACAGAGTATCTCCTTATAGAGATGGGGACCTTGGCACCCAGAGCCTAGTAACAGCTGGAAATTGTGACCACCCCTAAGATTGTGAAGGGGAGGAAATAGTGTTATTAGAGCCTGGTGTGCACTGGGGCCATGGAAGAGGGCCATGGAGCAGGGCAGAGAGAAGCAGCCGTGGCCAGCGAGTGCTGGAGGGGGTGGGGCCAGGGAGGGATGCCAGACCCATCTCTCATCCCCTGTCCCCATCTCTAGCTAAAGGCAGGCCACTGAGCCCAGCTCCCCAGGACATACGGAAGGGCAAAGAAGGATGAACAGTGGATCTGGTGGGGGTGGGGGAGGCCTACCCAGCAAACTGGGGAGTAGCTAGAGTAGATGATGCTATTAATCCCGGACGTATCTTCTCATGGGTGACATTTCAGGATAGGGGGAAATGCAACTCAATCAGTGGGTCTCACACCTGAGTGGGGGTGAGTGTCAGAATAGTCAGCCACATAGCAGGGTCCCAGCTGGAAACCCATCTCTGAGCCACCTCTCCTAGTGCAGCTCTTTTCAAACTGCACTTCCCCTCCCTTTCAACTTTACAGATACACTGAGCCACTAGTCCCGAGGGAATGTGTCCTATCCCTTAGGTGTGGGGGCAGAAGACAAGTTGGGAACCACGGATCAAAAGATACCAGCATTTAGGGGAGAGAGCTGAGTGAATAAGCAATGCTGACTCCCTCCCCTGTGGCCTCCTTTAAATTCCAAGGGGGACCCTCCCAGCTTAAGTGTTCTGAGATATGGCACATAGCTCCGCCCACCCTAATTCCTGTTTCAGGTATAGGACATACACTAATGAGAAGAAATGAAAACAAGGAGGTTCAGAAACTCTCACTC